AACGATCTACCTTGTTTAGCCAACATCTTTTTGAAGCAAGTAATTTCCTTCGGTAATAAAGAACCATCAGAACCAATCTTCAATTCTTCAAAAGTCTCTTTAGTAAACTGATGTCCAATACTCATTGGATCTCTTAAACTTGCTTCTTTTGATGCTTTTCCCATTTGTTCTTTAGAATCTTCTGATAATGGTCCGGCAACAGGCTTTACTTTCTTATCTGCTGTTTTATATCTCGTCTCTACAGTGACTTCTGGTGCTTGAAAAGATTCAAGTATGGTATAAACCTCTCTTGAATGAATCTCAACAATCTTATCATTATCCCCTAACCCAATAGATGTAATCAATTCCAATGAATCTTCCAGTCCATTTTCTTCATAAACACCCAAAATCCTCTCATCATCTTGCAATGTACCTAACTTGCATAATTCTCCTTCAATATCATATAATCTTTTTCTTTCTTTTCTTTTAAAATCATTAACTTTCTTATACATAATATTTCCATTCTCCAATATACCAATAAAACTCGCATCAAAGGCACCTTTATCTCGCGAGAGTACCTCCTCCTTTATACCTCCATAATCTCGCTTTACAGTGGTACCTCCCTAAAATCCTTAAATCCTTTGACAATCCTTGGCAATGGTTTCTCCCTCAACCTATCTCGATTCCGTTCATGGTTAGGAGGTACTGTTAGAAATTGTACAGCTTTCCTCCCATCTTCGCTCCGTACCCTTGCATAAGCAGAACCATCGTCAAGTACTTTTGTTTCCATCCGTGTTGCCGTGATATAAGGTTGTCCTAAAATCAACGGATAAGATGTTGTATCTTGAACAAAGAAATGTTGCTCCGTCGCAACATCCCCAATCCGAATTTTGACATCTGGACAAGCTCCATATAATTCGCCCTGTGTGTTATTAGCTGCTCGAATTGCCCATCCATGTTCCATATCAATTGGCCATTTTTGCTTCTTATAAAGATCTTTAGACATGAGATTTATTTCAGAACCATGGTCGACTAAAGCAACTATTGGTTCTTCTATATCTCCTACTTTCACCAATACCTCAGTAGTTGCCCTTGCCCAATATTTTCGAGTATAATGGCTCAAAGTTCCCATTTCCTTGTCACTAGAATCTTCGAAACGTACTCGTTGATAATACCCATTCTTTTCATTTGTTGGTTGCTTGTAACCAATATCAACCTCTTCTTCATCTTTATATATTCTTGCATCAATAGCATGACTCATTCCAGTTTCGCCCATTAATTGCCTCTTTCGCTTAATGCTGTCAATGATGACATCATGAAACTCCTTCTTTACAATTCCCAAGACTTCTTTCAATGTGAATTCCACCTTAGCGTTTAATATACGTTCTTCCAACATCCCTTTCAAATTTGTTGCTGCTTCAATGTCAGAAAGTAGCTTATAAGCAATTGATTTGCCCTTATCTTTTGTCTCCTTTGTTTTTTCTCCCAATGATGCTGAGGTATCCTTTACAGGCAATTCTTGTGAAGCTACCTCCCGAGCCTTGTCTCCTGGAGTTTGCCTCTTAGAAGAATTTCCTTCTCTAGTATCATCAAAATTTCCTCGTCTCTTTTCTTCCATCAAAGCTTCATGTTGGCTCTTAGCAATATATGCATGAACTGAAAGAGACTCAACAGGATCCTCCCAACCTGTTGTACCTCGTATTGTAGCTGCAGTCCTCAATAACGCTTCTCGAGGTAATTTCCCTTCTTGCATTGTAGAAACGGCAGAAGCCCAATACTCACTAGTTTCCGTACTTCCACCAAATTCATCATCTACTCTAGCACCATAACTTGCACTTTTTCGTGCTGCTGTTTCATGCTCTTTTAGGTAATCTTGAACCAATGCTCTCATTCCTCCCTTGCCAAAATTGGTTTGAAGAAGATCTTCTCTATTTTTCAATGCTATCTTCCCATCTTTCCAGCAAATAATTCTCTGCCATATCATATTATTAAATTCATTGCAATCTTTTCTAGTGTGTGAAGCATCATCACACCAAATGCATCTTTGTACATATCCTTGTTTTGAAACATTCTTCGAATTGTTTATAGAAGTATTCTCTTCAAGTCTTGCCAATTTGATTTGAAGATCTCGCATTCTTCGTATAATTTCTTCCATCCCCATATCTGCTTTCTTTGATAAGGATGTCGAAGGTTGAACTGTAGGCATTGTTGGTGGTGTTGTACATACTGGAGCTTTGGGTGCTTGTACTATTTTCTGAATATTGCTCCTATCCTTCCTCCTTTCTCTTTTTGTAAGCAACCCCACCGCATCTTCAACGTTCTTCCACTTTGTTGTCAATCCTTCATCTTCTTCTTTGTCTTCAAGAAGAAGTTCTAATTTCCCTTGCAATTCTCCATCAGCAGCTTGAAGAAATAGATCAACTTTGTTCGGCTCCAATGTCAATTTTTCTACCTTCGACAATTGAGAGTACTGCCTCTCAAATTCCCTTAGTAGCTCTGTTGCTTGCAAATTCTTATTGGGCCGTTCAATCCATTCCAGAAACAGCTTCTTAGTAACGCAATCAGCATCTTCCAAGAAATATTCGTCTTTCAATGCATGTGAAAAAATCTCCCATGAATTCCCATAACGATCTGTAATCGATGTAATGTGGTCTCTTATCTCCGGTATCGTAGCAAGTCTAAATAGTGCAACCATTTTCTTCTCAGAAACCTGATTTAATTCCATTTCACAAACATAACATCTTAAATACCTTGAAATATTCCTCCCATCAAATTGATCAATTTTATTGACCACTGCTTGCAATGCTTTGGTTGCCAAAGCTTCCTTTCGATCATTGCTTTGTTGTTGCTGCATTGATAATGAGAAGGCTTGAAACATACTAGCAATAGACGGATCCATGTGCATACCTTGTCCTTTAGAAGAATCCCCACCAGAAACTCCTCCCAAAAATCCTTCAAAATTTTTATTTTCGTTTTCCTTAAAATAAAGATAAAATCAACCGAAATCCAATACCTTCCACCTCAAGTTTTCATGTCGGGTTCACCACTTTTGTCGTATTACGTGCTTTCCTGCTCGAGAACGTGCCAGGCGTCTGGCTGTAGAAGGTAGTATGGAGATTCGCCAATAGTCAAGCAGTCTATCAGTTTTTGACTGCTGGAATATAAACGACTGTAAGAATATACCGTAAATCTATACAAATGCCCTTTGACTGCTTGTCGAAGTCCTTTTTGCCCTAGCCCATAGGTCTCTAGACGCTACAGAGAACCTCGAACAACCCAATCTGCTAATCTCCGATACCGCTTTGTACGTACGATCTTGTATCCACTGACTGTCTTGTTAGATTAATCCAATAAATTTCATTCATTCCGCATACTCAATCCTATAGACACCCTTTTAATTCTTCAATCACAGACGTAACTCGATTTCATAAACAGTCAAGAGTAATCAAACCCACTTCATTAAAAAAATCTCGATTCACCATTACAACACTGACTTCAGCAACGATTGCCTCAGTCTTCCCAAAACTCTATGAAGAAGAAAAATCCAATTCTCCATCTTTTCTTCTCCGCCCCAAAGCATGAAGCTCCTCTCCAATCTCCTTGATCTTCAAAAACCTCCAATGAAAACGAACTAGTAACCTTGAAAAGAGCTTGAAGCTAGCTCCTCGATCCAAAAAAAAAACCCTCCTCAAAACTTATTCTCCCCCTAACCTTATCCTCTGAATTTCTTCAATCTTCCGTCTTGGATCTGGAATTGGCTCCCATCGTCAGAGCTTAGATCCGAAATTGGCTCCTGCCGTCAGAGCTTTCTCCTCCGTTTTTACCTTTAAGAGATCCATTTACTGAAAACAACCTTCCTTGAAATGGCACAGAGAATAGGACAGCCTGAAACAGAATCGAAACCCCGTACTCAAGTCCACATTGAGTCGCCCGACCAATTCACGTCTCATATTGGATAAGAGTCCAGTACTAAGACCCGGATTTTTCCGTAATTAGACTGCATTGGGTTGCCCGACCAATGCAGGTCTCATATTGGGTACGATGCCCGTAGTAACCTAAATGTTCCCATAATTAGACTGCATTGGGTTGCCCGACCAATGCAGGTCTCATATTGGGTACAATGCCCGTAGTAACCTGGATGTTCTCGTAACTAGACTGCATTGGGTTGCCCGACCAATGCAGGTCTCATATTGGGTAAGAGGACCCGGATTGGATTCTCGAAATTGGATACAATTGGCTCTTCGAACCAGGCTCACTCGTTGCGTAAATTGGTCCTTTCCCTTCTTGCTGACTCCCGTTATTGGAATCGAACGGAGCATTTCAGTATGCCCCGGCTGACTGTAACGGAGTGACTGAATCTGACCACTCAGTATTTGCACTGGAGTTGGTCGTCGCTCCCAATATTCGAGGTAACTGAATATTAATAAAAGTCCCTTTTCTTTATATTTTCACGGTATACTCGTGTTACAACACGACACCGTGTAGTATCCAAAGCAATCGCAGTAACAGTCTCCTTGTACAGTGAGGTACAGAAATAATTCGAATTTTTTTCTAGAGCACCACTTTTGCTGAAAAAATCTTGTTGTTCAATTGAATGCTATGATCATGTTGGAAGGAATCTTTCTCCGATACTTAGCCATCTATTTTTGGAGTGCAAGAGGTGTCTAATTTCATGTAATTAGCCATGTGTCTTCAAAATCAGATTGCAAATGTGATGATTAATGTGGAAGTGGTTAGGTGAGCTAAAAAATCACAGTTACAATTAGGCATGCATGCAGCCAGCAAAATGGAGTGATAACATAGAATGCTTGGATGGGGTGACTTATATAATCCATCTGAAGATGTGAAGCACATTGCACTGCCACAGATTGAGATTGTGAAGCACATATAGATTTTAGAAGTGTTCTTTTTTGGTTTTGGACATCGTTAGCTTCAGTGACTCCTCTCTGTTAAACTAGAAGTTGGTTTGTGTTGTTTGAAGGCTTATAGCAAGCACCATGAAGTACAGAATATTGTCCCCTATGGCGAAGAATCAGATTGTGGAGATGAGGAAGGCTGGGATGAAGTGTAAGGACATTGCAGAAGTCTTCAATGCTCCCTATTCCACCATTTCAACTATCTTGAGTCATTGGAAGGTCCATGGAAGTGTGGAGTCGTTGAAATCACAATGTGGCAGATCCAGGAAGTTGTCTGAGCGAGATTTTCGAGTGTTATGTCGTGCTGTCAGTTCAAATAGAAGGCATACTCTGGTAGAACTTGCAAACTTGGTGAATGTTTCTCAAACTACTATTCGACTCTACCTCCATGAGCTTGGTTTTAGAAATTGTATAGTACCTAAAAAGCCCTATTTGAATGTCAAACATAAAGCAGATAGGCTTACATTTGCACATGCTTATGAGAGTTGGACGTTTGAAGATTGGTGTAATATATTTTGGACGGATGAGTCGTCATTCGAAACTGGCAAAAATCCACGGTAAATTAGAGTGTGGCGGAAGGCGTACGAAAAATATAATTGGAATTGTATAGCACCAAGTTTTAAGTCTGGGCGTAGTTCAGTGATGGTTTGGGATGCCTTTACTGGCTTTGATAAGTCTCCATTGGTCACCATTCCTTCAAATAAGAGATCATCAAGTGATTTTGTCACTATTGTTTATGAAGGAGTATTAATTGGCTTTTATTTCTTATATGATGACCCTGAGCAATTGATATTGATGGAGGATGGTGCTCCAGTCCACCGTAACTCATTGCCAGTGCAATGGAGACGTGTTCATGGTATAGAAAAGTTGTTTTGGCCTGCCAATTCACCGGACTTGAATCCAATAGAGAACGTTTGGATGGTTGTAAAAGATTTGCTCAAACATCATAGTAGACCTAATAGTAAGCTAGAAATGATAGAAAAAATTCAATCCGTATGGGATACCATATCTATAGAGTGGCTTCGTACATTGATTTCCACTATGCCTTATAGGATGCAAGCGGTGATTGCAGCTGGGGGTGGTAGTACGAGATGGTAGATAGTATGTAACAAAAAGCTCTCTTGATGTATATTTTCACAATTTTATAATGAAAAATTGTTACACCATGAAACTAGATTCTACTATCTTCGCAATGCACTTTACTGCTCAAAAATGCGTTCATTTTTGAAACTGCTGGAGCTTTTTGAAGTTCAGTGATTTCTAACACTGATTCACTTTGGAAAAAAATTCGAATTATTTCTGTACCCCACTGTACAGTGGAGCAATAGCAGTGAGCATGTGAGTCACCTTGGTCACATGGGTTCCCACCTGCGATTACCACATAAGTCACAATAAGTACCACAGATGACCAGTTCACATAATCTTCTGTGGAAAGAGCACGAGGCAAAAAAAGAAAAAAATAACAACGCTACAATCGTAAAAAATGACTTGTAATCTTCATTTTCACAGCCTATCGACTATTTTTAGGTTGATAAAGATACAAGTAAGCCCTCGTGAAACCCTACTATGCATGCAGCATGTAGAACCATGCTGAACCATTCTAAAGCTAACCTCGCTCAAATTTTTCATGGGAGACAGTTTGCATGATTCCAAACATTTCAAATCTCATGACGGAGTGCAAATCCGTCAGAGCGTGACCAACTCACAACCGCAAGGGGGACAAGACTAATACGAATCTCACCTTGCGCGCTCACAATACCAAACAGCAAGAACGAAAGCAACACCAACATGACCATCAGTGTATGCATTCTGCACGATCCTGTCTTCTTCTTCCTCACGCTCTTCCTGCAAGTTTACAAGAGAATGTATGTGTTGCGCAATCGAGAGATAATGAGAATCCTTCACAGCCACTACCCTCAAGCACTCATGCACGCAGACCCAGCAAACAAAAATGAAATCTTGGATTCGGCACCAAATGGTCTGAAATCACGAGCAAAGGAACACACAAGTCTGAAGAGTAAGCAACATCAACGATGCGCCCCTCCAAGTGAGCTCACAACTTTCATTTGCTCAACAAACGCAGCTGATGTTTGTGGAAATCATGGCCGGCTGAGAGCCATGCTGAGAAGCAAGCAAAGCAAAACAAAGCAAAGCAAATCCAGACACAGTGTTGCTGTAGGATTCACCAGCCTGGTCTCACATGAAATGAAGTTCAGAAGGGGCCCCTTCACACTGCTCCACAATGTGTTTCTGCTTAGTTAGTTTGGGAGTTTAATGGCAATAAGAGTAGCCCAAGTTTAAGAGAAGATATATATCCCAAGGGTGAGAGTAGTCCACATGAAGATATGTCTTACAACAATCTCACTAGATTTGATAAAATCAATGTGTGGAAAAATCTAAATTTGATGCTTTCATTTGGATTTAAACCCAAATGAAGAATATCTCTAAAAATCTCTAAAACTATGAAGAATATTTCTTATTGTACATACCAACATTTGTATGACAACATATTTTACTTGCAAAAGGTATAAGTACTTAAGAAAGGAGGATTTTGCCCTTTGATTGTTGTCTCCTTACTACTCTTAACTTCCGCACCACAAAGTACAAAGCAAAATCTCTTATACAATCTCTCAACTTATTGCACATGATAACTTGCTAGATGGTGTTCATCCTTAAGTTGGATTTAGAGATTCTTTTTTGTAAAATTTCTCTGTGTATTGGCTTCATCCTTAAGTTTGGTTCTTGTGTTGATGTTTACAATGATATTTTGTATTCTTGTCAATATTCTAGAAATTTTTATTCAAGAATTATGTTTGAATCAAGAACTTCTATCTAGTTCAAGGTAATTGCTTATAGAAGCAAAGCTTGATTTAAAATATGAGCTTATAAAAATTTGATTTAGTTTTATTGATTAACTAATCAATTTATTATATCCCTTATTTGTTTCTTTTGTTCAAAATGTTTTCTAATCTAAGTATGGTTTCTCAATTTTAAAGTATTACATAGGTACAACAAAGATAATAAATACAATAAAATTATTATGCATTATGAAGTTAAAATATAAATATATGCATAGGATTATTTGAAACAAAAGATTTTACTAGCCAATTAGAATATGCAATTTTTAAAAATTTTAGTAAAATATTTGAAAAATATATCATTAGATTTAAAATGAACACAATTCTTTATTTGTACGTTTTATTATATTTCTCCTTGTTGATATCTTATAACTCATTAAGTTTTCATAAATATGATTCTTATACCAATGTGTCTTTTTGGAGTGATGTTAATTGTTTAGTTAAGGTTTTGAAAAGCTTTTATGCAAAGCCTTGCAGTTTTCAAAAAGATTTTTTTTATCATCCAATCATAAATTATAAATACTTACAAGTATTTTTTTTGAAAATAAATAAATAAATATAAAAAAATAATATATATATATATATATATATATATATTTTAATCAGGGATGACCTTGACCATAAATTTGTCTCAATACTTCCCCCTTATTCTACTAGAATCCAAATCATGATTATATTCAAAAGATTAAACCACTTCATTTCTCCAGACTGGGTCCCATGTCTCAACAGCAAAAAAGATGGTATTCTCTTCTTGCATGGTGCTCAGAACTTGGTGACGCAAATTGGCAATGTGGTTTACCTATCATGCATTAAAACGTTCCTGGAAACTTACAAGAATTGACACTTGAACTGAGACTTTGAAATTATCAACAAAACGTAATTAGCAAGGATGAACTGATTATGTTGTTGTTGCACCAAGTTGAAATTAGGCTGACCTATGTCTCACTGGTCACAAGGAGTGACTGAAAAATGCCAATTCTTTAATTTATAATTTTCCATTTTCACTTTTATGGGCACTTAGTTTATTGCTTTATATGTCCACAATGAAGACTCACGAAGCCAGTCAATAAGCTCAATTGATACATGGACAGTGGATAAACGAAATAAGCATGTAAACAACAAAATCATGCATTGCCAGCTTGCAGCCTCTTTGATGGTGCAAATTTAGATCAGTTGCTGATACTAACTTTTTTAAAAACTACTTCACAATGAAATTTGAAAACAATTTCAGGCATGCCAGCAAGTAAATAAGGAAGTATATATGTATGTTTTATCTGGCATAATTACACATACAGACACACAGAAGAATATATATATATATATATATATATAGATTAACAGACATGCATACATAGGAACGAATGAGGAACTAAAATGATTTTATTCACATTTTCGCAAACCTCTGCAAACTAAAGACTACACAACGAACTAAAATTTCGTGGCACGAATCAGTGAAAAGTCATCCGCTCTGCAGGGTCCTGGAGGCATTGAGACGAGCCATATTAACAAAAGTTATCTTTACAATCTAATCACGAGATAATGAGACTGGAATGGTGTGACAAAACTTGCGGAAAACCTCAGTGAATGCAAAGTCATGGTAGAACCGACTGATGAGCCTTGAGCTCACCTTCACCGGAGTCAAAAAAGGACTGATCACACCACTGTCAGGCTCAAGAGAATTTGATGAACATACGCAGTTGCATGCCTAACGACAGATCTGCATGTCTACGGATTGCTAGCATGGAGAGCCCGGAAAAGTAGCATGGCGAAGCATGCACTGGCGATGTATCCACTGGCATGCTACTGTTCCGACACATGGCAGGACATCTCGTCCCGGTGAATCTGGAAAGGTATCTCTCTCTTGTGTGCTGTTGTCGACGTGTGCCCAGAATGTCGAGTCCAACATCTCCAGAACAATTGCCAAGTACTCCATGCCGGAGGTCTGCCTCACAACCCACATTTGATTCCCGGGGACCAAGGCAAACGACATCCGGAAAAGTGGGTGGTGAGTCTTATCTGTTCTCGTAGCCAGTGTTACATGTTAGTGCCATGTGATGCCAAGTTTTTATTAAACTTACTGTGAGTGCTTGTGAGTGCTATTTTGTGCATATCAGTGCTGTATTTGTCCTCAGCGGAGCCTTGTAGCTTGAGGCATTGAGCCGGATAATACTTTTAAATAAGGGGAAAAAGAAAGACCCAGAAAAGCCTCAAGTATGGGAAATGTGTGGGCCGCTTACAGGATGGTGAGGGAGAAATGTGGACCGAAGTCAAACTATTTCAACCTCGTGTGGCATTCCACTGCACCTATTCAGGTTTTAGGGTTTATCGAAATAATTACATGATGTTGAAGGAAAACCAACACAGCTCTGGCAACGGAGCAGTCAAGCAAGGATCTGGTGTAAACCAAGTAAATGGCAGGCTCGTATGATTCACAGTGCCCTTTCAAGGTGCACGTGTAAGATCCTTCGCTAGCGGTAAAGATCGAGATAAATGCCGCTACTCAAACCCTCCACATCGAAGGGCTTTGACCCGGTGGTTGCGCAGTGGTGGTTGGATCGAAATGGCAGCCTTTGAAGCATATCGCAGTATCGAACGCAGTCGCAAATCATTGAGGAGGTCTGGGATCATTATGGTGTGGATGATGCGGATTTTGTGCCTCATCCTTCACCTGGACATTGACATTAGAGGGGACACGGGAGCTGCAGCTTCGCATCAGAGAGAGAGGCAGCCTTCGCATCGGATTGCGTAAATAACATGGACATGACTAATTATCTTGCATTCCTTTGTGCAACGGTGTCCACCTAATCGCATTTGACCAAGCCTGAAACCCGGATCAATCTTAATCGTGACCCGGGAGGTTGTGTAAATGCTCTAAAGCAAAGATGCTCTTAGTAACTGAAGTTAGAGAATTTCGTTTTCCGCAAACTCATCCACCGCTAGTAATAGTGGCAGCGGAGAGGTTGGGAAGTTGTTACGCTTATGCACATACATCACCATTTACAACTCCCTTTCGAAAAAATTAATGGTGTATGAGTCATATCTAACTACTGGACTATGATGAGATACTCTCAGACCTGCTGTGCACATTGTGACGTAATTCTGCTGGTGAGAGAAAATTGTTCCAACCTCATTGAAATAAATTCTGATTGCTTAACAGGAAAGTTAAAACTGATTGAATTATGATGTTAGCAATCCTGGATAAATTAGTGGGTTCTACGCACGGAATTGATACCTGAAGGTTATGATACACATTTTCTTTTTCCTGAGGGGAAGTAAATTTAAGAGACTAATTCGGACCTAGAATAGCGACGGCGTTTGTTGCGGGCGAGAGTAAGAGCTGGCACCTTGCGAGCGATGGCCTCCCACGTCATTTGCACCGCGTCGCCTATTTCTGAAGGCAACTGGTATTCAAAATGCTTTTGCACCTCGCGCATGCGGTCATGCATCCTCGTCCATTCCTTCTCACCAAAATTACGTAACAAATTGGTCAAAAAGCCCTTGCGCAGCGCGTCTGAAGAGTTCACGAACAGGCAAAATTCGGTGTAGTTGATAACATCCTCGAAGGGGAGCTCAATGTCGTCGCTGACGATCAGCGGCACGCAATGACTGGCAACTGCGTCGAAAAGACGGTTGGAAGACGGCGTATCGCCCTCCATGTGGAGACAGAATTTCGACTGCCGCATCCCACTCGTAGCGCTGCGGATTCCGGCGCTTGTAGTTGTGCCGTTAACGAACACGACGTCGGACTCGTCTCGCAGAAGCTCGTACAGCTTCTGCCGGATAATACCGCCTTCCTTGCGCACGATCGCACCTTGGAAGAACAGTAAAGTAGTTCTGGTATTGAACGAGGATACGGAGTCGATATCGTCGTCGAAATTTGGTATGATGTGTTTGTATGGCGCGACCACGTCCTTAGCAATGTTCGCCACTTCCGCGTCGTAGCGTCCGAAATCCGCCACCACAAACATGGCGCTTCGAAACTGCTCCCGCTTGTACACCATAGCATTGGGGTGATGGATTATGAGCACATGGTCTGCGCCGTTGGAAGCTCGCCACGCCGGCTGGGATCTCAGAAACGAGAGTAAATTCACTTGAAGTTCCTGATTTCTGTCCATTTTCTTTCTTCCTCGGACTGCTGGCCTACTATACTTGTTGTAGCTCAGAGACGCGAAGAATGGGATAAGTATCACGTCCGCGATCTGCCAATTTTTAACCCGGAAGGCGGTGCATGGCGTTGAACGCTCGGGCATGTCGGAGGTGACCAAATCCGAAATAAGCCAATACTCAGGACTGTGCTGCTGATACAATCCGCCGGGGTACCGAGGTATATTGCTCACGTTCCGCGGCCAGATTTGGCTCTCTTCGGGTGTGAATTCAGGGATCATGCCGTAGTGGAACTTAGGCGGCAGGTCGTACAAAAAAACTTTAAGCTTAGCAGAATCCTTGTGGCATCCGACCTGTTTACTTGCCTCTAAGTGGTCGTTTAATTCCCATGAATCTGAACCAGGCTCCTCGGGCTCCGATTCGGAGCCGGACTCGAGCACTTCAGAATTGAAAGCCTCTACATACTTGAAAACGTTAGAGGGCTCAGAAGTCAATCTTGTCCTTGAGAGAAATCCAGTGAGGAGAAAAAGGCAAAAGAGGGCGACGCTGGCGACAACAAAGCCCTTTCGAATCCATACTGAATCATCGCTTCGAAAATGCTTAGTTTTGGCTGCAAGATCATCATCGTCTTCCTTGGAGTCTACATACTTTCCGGCTCTAACAGCCTGCACTGACCTCCACATCGTGCCCAAACTAAGTCAGAAGCAATCGTATCCTGCCAGATTTCAGGCCAGGTATCCTGCAATATGCAGCTCACGGTTCTATATTCGACGTGGTAAAAACCCCATGAGCACTCTATAAAACTATCCAAAATCGACGAACAATTGCAGCCGTGCCCTTGTCCACTTAGCTTATCGTGTAAACTAGTGAGAATCCATTAGGCAGACCTTGGTGACATGAATTGCTGAAATCACGATTCAATGATCCTTCATCCCACTCGCCCTCCTACTGTTCTTCAACACAAGCTTTTAAATGTAAAAGTCGTTCGACTCGTGAAGCAGGGTTGGATGTGATCCAGCGGAGCACGAAGATAATATTGAGAGGTCTCAAGGCTGAAGAAGCGAGGTAAAAGAAAATACGACGACGATGATAACACATAAACACGAACTGTTTGACCTACACAATCATCTCACCAAAGGCTCGGGTTTCTGCCGAGAGGCACTACCCCAGTCGCCGTCGGGGGTCCTAAAAGTCTCGTCCTCACATCTCTGGTCCTACTTCTCATCAGTCTGTCTAAATTTTCGTCACTAAGAATAATCCATTTCTAACCATCCAACTACAGCATGCAGCGCCTGCGTCCCATTACAAGAACTGGTTTGTAGTCGCGACTCGCAAGAAGAATTCTACGAGAGCCGCATCAAGCATGAAGATGATCTGCCAGCTGATTTCATCTCTCAACACGTTTCCTTCCTGTTTTCTATACGGAAAGGCGCAGAAGGCTTATTGATTGAAACCCCTCAATCTCTTGCCAAGAAAGCATGAAAACATGAACCAGCAAAGCTTATCCTTGCGACCAGTTACTAGTCCCGCTAACACACCACTCGAAGAACTAAGACTCAACACAACCACAACCCAGAACAGGATATAAAAGAAACCCCATGAAGACGAGAGATTCCGAGTTTAAAACTGCGAGAGGACGTTAAAGATGGGGGTATGAAAGCAAGTTTGCAATCACCTCCTTTGCAAGTACCTCTAAAGTCCTAGTGTCCATATTATTAGATATTCGCCATTTTTTGAAGCCCAAAGGCCGTGTCATCCTCGCCAGCAAAAAGTAGCAGTAGCACGCACTCCGTTTCAGTTACATCATCGCTGGTCACTGCGACACGAGACAGCCAACAAATCTCCGAAAAGTGACACAAAGTGCGTACGTTTCAAAAAGGAAAATTACAGGTAATCAGTAGATGGACCTAGGGTGAGAGCTTTTGTCTTCCGAGGACATCACCAAGTGGTGACGGTCTACCTGTTTTCTACCTGTTGGAGCGCCAGTAGTTTTGTTCTGTTTTCTCGTGCAGCTTGATTGTTGGAGAGGAACACTGACACATGCATCTAGCCTAAGCGAGACGAGAATGTTGTCAAGAGAGTTCAGTCCGCACCAGTAGCCGTTATCAGTGCAGAGGAGTTCGGAACTCCTAGTTCTGGTCACCTTCAGCCTATGGCAGAAAACGTGGCCAATGTATTTGTGGGTCTCTTTAAGAAACTTATATTTCCCGCTTGGCAAGTAATTTTCCTCGCCCCAAGGGCTTTAAGGTCTCATGCATGATTACAGCTATACTACGGGGTAGGTTTTTAGGGGAGCACTTTGAGAACGCAACTTGTGAATGTTTATTAAACTCCTCTTCGAACTTGCACTGATTTTAGAAAATTACAGCGAAAAGGCATTCGGGAGGAGCGTTCCAGCTTCAGATCACAAGATCGCAAGCCTGCACCAGGTAATAACTAGATAAAGCAGCACGTGCTGCCCTTCATTGAACTAAACTTCCTATTCTCTCTTTTTTCTATGGGAGACACGATGCGAGGAGCGCTAAATCGCAGCTCATGACGTACTAGCCAAAACAGTATTTCCCACACCTGAAAAATTCAACTCCAGATGGGCAGATTTGCTTTCACCGGCACTGTTGAGACAAATAACTTCACCCTCAGATGCAACCCACACCAGTCCATCCACACACAGCCCCAGTCATCGATGACCGAAGCAGTCCTTCTGTTTGAGCAGGTCAGTGGTAGAGTGGTCACGCGCCTTCACTTGGATGCGTGACGACGAATCAGATTCGCGGATCATTTCCACCAGGGCTCCATGGGAGCGAGACCACTACGGATCCACTGCTCACTCACGAGTAGCCTGGTCGATCAGGTCGCGACGCCATGATCGACTTTGCCGAGCTCATCGTATGTCTCCGACGTGGGCTGCTTCTCATGTTCAACTCATTTATATTGATTTCTGTTACAAAGATGCCTTTTCTTTTTTTCTTTTCCCCCTGCACACAATTTACTCTTAGTGGAAGTAATTGAAGAAGTATAGTAGCAGTAGTTGTAGTAGTAGTTGTACCAACTTTTGTTGACGATGCAACAGAACCCCCACTGTGCTTGAAAACGTGTCCCTTCTACATGGTAGTAAGTATTGCGGTGTCGTGCATAAATGGATGAATGAATATGTATAGGTGGATGAATGTACATGGGTGAATGAGTGTATGGATGGATGGATGTACATGGATGAATGTTCTTATGTTTTTTTGTTTGTTTTGTCCAAATAATGTAATGAAAAATCGCTACATGTCAAATCAAATTTTTATACATGAAGCTGTTAGGAATGATTAAATACTAAATGTGAATTTTGTATATTTTTTTTTTACAAATAATGATATTATTTGAGTGTTTTAATGGATGTAAAAATAAATTGAACAAGTTTGTTATCCACAAAATTAGTCTTAAGCTTATACTATTTCCCTTCAAATTTTCATTAAAAAGCAGAAATTGCTAATACTAACATCGTTTTCTTACCCATTAAAGTATATGAATTACAAGCACAATTATATTTTTTGATAAAAATACTTGATTAAAAAATCGAACTGATTTTACAATTCTCTCTTGATACATGTACACAACTAAAAATAATTAACTTATGTCTTATAAATATTTTGTATCCCTAAAAAACATAACTTTTAAGTCCAAAACAAATCTTGCATGTGAAATTGAATATACATCATGTACAATTTGCAACTTTTTTTCTTGTTAATATTACTAAATATTAACTTTATTAACATTATTATTAAATTATCATCTGAAAGGGTAAATATAATTAGATTATTTTTTTGTTCATTTCTTCTATGAATCGAAAAGAACTGTAAAAACGTATATGGAATGTTTTTGCAGTACAAAAATATCAATTAAAATAACTCTTGCTTTATACAAAGATTTTTCTAGATTCATTGAAAAATTATGATAAACAAATAAAATTATGGTCTTTTGCATTGATTTCAATCATGAATTTATTTTCAACAATATCTATCCCATGTTTAATGATGTGATTTGATTTCTAGTAACATTTGATGAAAAGAATCAATAAAATACATATCACTAACTTTCATTGAACATTGATTAAACCTTCAACATGCTCATCTTTTAGTTTAATTTCCATTGTTATTTTTTTGTAACCTTTTTCCAATTTAGCTCCCAAAGTAGAATTCAAAATTGCATACATTATCTGCATTAGTATCAATTGCATTGAACAAATTTAATAACATCTTAAATTCAATTACATACTTTAATCTGGTTAAATCAAAATTCAAATTGAAGTTTGTTCCACCTCTATTTTTGATACTTAATGTAAAATAAAAATAAAACATTCTCTATAAGCCTTAATTTTTTTTTGTTATTATTTAGCTTGAATTGGTTTTTTTTTTTTTTTTGATTTATTCTTGATTTTTTAAAAATAATAATAATAATGATTTTTAATTATATATGCATTAGTTTGTTATATATATATATATATATATATGTGTGTGTGTGTGTGTGTGTGTTCTTTACAGAACAAGAGCATGTTTCAAAATGTTTTTATGTTAAGCAATGATAAACAAAATTGAATTCTATGAGAGTGAATTATAATTTTTTATGAGACATCTCTACTTCAGCAATTAGCACAAAAAAACAAGATTTAGACTCAGTGTTTGGGATTCATTTGATAAATGAAATGCAGACATTGATTGAAATGCAGTCTGGTGTTTTTTGTTGCACATTATTATTTATTTTTAAAGTTCATTTTCTTTGTTTGCAATATTATTTATGTGTGCTCTATTCTACCATATATATATATGTATATATACATACATCATACACATACATTTTTTTTGTTTTGTTTTGTTTTTGTTCTTTGGATGATTTGATTTTGGTGGCATAATTATTTTACTATTTTTTTTGTCATTTTTTTCTTCTCTCTTATGTCTTGGATTATTACATCAGTTGCATTAAATTACAAATTTTGTTTGAATTGGTTGTAAAATTTAAAGGGATTTTACTTAGTTATTCCACTAATTGTTTAGCATGAGTATCATTGTTTTAGATGATTTTAAATGTGTGCCTTGATTTATCCTTTTTAGAATCTTGTATGTTCATTGTAACTAGTAATACATCCTTTCTAAAAAAGTCGCCTTGGTCAACCATCAATGTGATTCCTTGCAATTGAGTATTCCTTTTATTAAATCTTTTTTCAGAAGCCATTTTAGTAAACTCTTTGTTACACATTATAATTGAGTGTAATTTGCTACATTTGTTTTTTACAAAATGTGATATACAATAAAATATAAATTCCAATTTTTTAAAAGTGCTACTAGATTTATCCATTTATACATGATTATTTTATTTTTATTTTTATCCAAGCTGGATATTTTAAGTACTTTAACAAACAAAAAATGGAATTTCATTAAATATTACTTGTAAAAGAAATGTAGAATTGAGTCTCATAATTTTAAAAAACTAAACATTATTTAATATATAATATTTTTATTTACATTTATTATTAAAGTCTATTTATTGATATTTTAAAAAACATTCATATTTGATAATGTTACATTAAGAATTGGTTTTGATAGATTTAAATACATAATGTATGAATATATATATATATATATATATATATATATGCATACATTTATAGAAATGATTCTTCTAACTAATATAAAAGATAAGATACTATTATTTTTTTAAAATATTAAGTTAATTTTAATAATAAAATTATCTAAAAAAAATCTCAATTATAAGATGTAATTTTAAAAATTAAAATTTTATATTCAAATATTTTAAAATTTATATATCAATTTAATATTATTTTAAAAAATATTAAAAAATAAATATATAATATTTTGTATTCAATAATGTATAATTTTTTATTTTATTTATAATTGAAGAAATATTCATGTAATGTATAATAATATAAATATAATATTAATAAAATACATTTTATTCCTAATCTTAGTTAGCAAAAAGTAAGATTGAGCTTGGAAGCACTAAGATGCTCCAACAAGTACGATTGGGCTTAAAATCACTAAGGTACTCCAATAAGTAAGATTAGGCCTGAGAGCACTAAGGTGCCCTTGCTCATTATTGAGTGGGGTTTTTAGGACAAAGTAACAAAGACATGGCAAATACAACACAAAGCACGATTTGATAGGAAAATATATCAAACTCATACCCTCAAAATTAACATAATTAATATGAGGTTCAATGTTGAAGTGAGGGACTAAGAGAGTGTCACGGACATACACATGTAAACCAATAATTACTTAAATGATTTACATAATAGTAGGTAAAAGTAAGTCAATTCCATAATATCTTTTATAGAAGCTTCTTAGAAGCTTCATAGATATTGTTTTGACTTTATAGTTGTCTTTAATTCACTTTTTAGGTTAAAAACGTTGTCAACAAGTTGGCCATGTGCCACACATATTGATAGCTTGAAGAACAAGCTAACTATGTGGCCCACATGTAGAAAACTTGCCTTGTAAGCTAAAGCATGTGTCCTGTAAAGTCAACACATATTAGAAGTCCTATAGAACATTGCCATGTAGCTCCTAGTTAGATAGTATATATAGAGGCAAGAGTGAAGCCTACTTTATTCTTGTCAACTCCTTTCTTGTTTCTAGTGTAGTTTCAAGAGTCTCAAGTTTTCTTGTCTTTTGGCAATAAGCCATTACAGTTTCTTTTTAATATATGTACTTAATTATTTTTATTTTTTCACTTTTTCTTTGATACAGATTTCATTGGCTTATACGTCATATTCCAATTCATATCTTTGATAGATTCACAAGAGTATACTTATAATATCAGAGCTTTGTCTTGTCTCGATTAAGAGTAGATTATTCCTTTCTCATGATAAGACATAAGCATATTAGAAGTTGCAAATTACCCTCTTTTAAACTCATATTGTTCTTAGTATTTTCTTTGTCCTCAAGTCCTTTCTTCTACTTATCTTAAGTAGTATTAGATATTTTTCTGAGTATTATTATGACAGAGCTTGTTGAAATGAAGAATACAATGGCACAAATATAAGAGCAATTGAGGGAATTGATGCTTGTGATGTATCAATTTAGCTTACTACCATAAGAATCAACAAGAATGGTATGAAGTGAGGATATAGAGATGATTAGAGTTCCCTCAACATCTGCACCAAATCATGTCCCTACACCCATGGTGGAACATCCTTCAAGTATTAGAGAATTAAGAATTATAGTGCCCAAGAAGTTTGATGGTACAAGATCCAAATTTCAAGGATTTATCATTCAAGTATAATTTGTGATTAAACTT